TTCCTGCTGGGAAGTCTTGGCCAAGCAGCAGAAAAGCAACAGACCAGAACAGCCCTCAGACTCCTCCCTTCCTCAGGAGGGAATGAGAGAGAAAATGAAGCAAGCTATGCCTGAAACCATCTTTGTATCTCACATTCTCATCTGTTAGAACAAATATCCCTAAATGGATTTTTTCCATTGATTTTCCTCCTTTAGTCTCGTATTAAGTGATAATTTTTTCAGAGCAGTCAGGAAGTTTTGGCATGAAGGACTGTGCTTAAATTTGAAGTCAAGAAGCTCTTTATCTAATCCTGTTCTCTGCCCCCAAGCAATTCACTTAGGGTAAAATCTTCAAAAGTACCTGAGTGATTAGAACACTAATTGCAATAAGTCCTTAGCACTTGATCTCTTAAATCAGTTAGGTGCTTTTGAACATGTTATATGTATGCCATGCTAGTTCAAGACACTACAGACTTTCTACAGAAACTTAAAAACATAGATCACCTTCCCAGCAACACCCTCCTAGCCACCATGGACGTTACCAGCCTATATATCAGCATCCCACACCAGGATGGCATCCAAGCCTGCCTTACATATCTACAGGAACAAGATTACAACTCAGAATACAGACCCAAAGATATTACTGACCTTATACACTTTATCCTCACACACACAACAATTTCACTTCTAATAACCAACACTTCCCTCCAGACCATGAGAACAACTATGGATACCAAAATGGCCCCACAGTATGCCAACCTTTTTATGAGCCACCTGGAAGAAGACTTCCTCAAGAACTGCACCATCAAACCCTTGCTATACTTAAGACATATTGATGACATCTTCATCATTTGGACTGAAAACCTGCAATCTCTGATTGAGTTCCATCAGAAATTCAACAGTCACCATGCCTCCATCCAACTTTCTCTAGAATACTCCAGCACCAGCATCTCCTTTTTAGACACAATGATCAGTATCCAGAATGATAAAATACAGACCACGTTATACAAGAAACCCACAGACCAACATACTTATCTGCACAGAACCAGCAATCACCCTAAACACACCAAAAAACAGTGATATACAGCCAAGCCCTCAGATACCACCGCATTTGTACTGAAGAGAACACCCGGGATTGCCACCTCACCAATCTTAAAAAGGCTTTCACCCAACAAGGACACTCCTCCAGAGAGATAAATCGCATGTTTGAAAGAGCCACTCGGATACCACGTGAAGAACTGCTGCAGTACAGAAGAAAACCCCCCACAAATTGCACACCGCTGGTTATGACATATCACCCCTCCCTTGAACCTGTACGGAAAATCCTCAAAAAATGCAAAACCTGCCAACACATCTCCACCACCCCCACTATTACTACACCCCACAACAGAGCCATCAGCATTCCCGGATCTTACAGCTGCACCTCCAGCAATGTAGTATACCTCATCCAATGCACCAAATGCCCTGATGGAAAATACATAGGAGAGACCAAACAACAACTGCGCACCAGAATGAACGCACACTGAAAACCTATTAAAGACAAGAATACCCAATTACCTGTGGGGGCACATTTCTCACAAGAAAACCACTCTCTCTCCAATCTCTCAGTCCTGATCCTCAAAAGAAACTTACAAAACACTTCCCTGAGACGAGCCTATGAACTCCACTTCATCAACCTCCTGGATACTAAAAATCATGGACTAAATATAGACATTGGATTTATGACACATTATAACCTGATTGACAGCTGACTCCCCACGTATCTCTCCACTATTCATCCCCCTTCTCTCTCCCCCCCCCACCTGTCTCTCACCCATTGACTCCTCAATCTGCATTTTCACTGACTACCTGTCTTGTATGCATACCAGCCCAGCCGCTGGCTTCTTTACTTTTCATTCCATCCAGGAAGAGCACACACCAACTGCTGAAACTTCCTTAGCCTGACGAAGGGTTTTTGAACCCAAAAGCTTGCTTAATAATAGTTTTCCAACTATTTAAGTTGGTCTAATAAAAGATATCAGATTCACCCAAAGAACCTTGTCTGCCTATGCCATGCTAAGGGCACTTAAGATATAAGCACCCACATGGTAAAGTTGGTTAATTCATGCTAAGTGCCCTCTTCAAGCAAGGATTAACTTTGGTCCATGCTCATGTTAGGATATCTTCAGTCTGTTTCACAAACATAAAATGAGCAATTTACAGTCCTCTAGCATCTCAGGATGCACTACTCCCACACACTCACAGCAAGGATAGAGCCCAGGTTCCCTGTCTTCTCACACACATGCTCACATCACTTCTCACCAACACTGTACTGGCAAGTCAGAGCTGTGCAGGCAATAAATGTATTAAACCTTAACATACAACTGTTTACAGCATATGCTTTACCTTTAACACAGTTTAACATTCTACAGATTTAGTATCATCTAAGTGTACCATTAAACTTTACCCTAGCTATATATACACGAGAAAAAAAAATCGTATATTATTTGTATTCATCTGCCTCACAAGGATATCAGAATTAATAAACATTAGAGAAGTGCTTTGCACATGTAAAATGATAAATAGTCTTAATTTACTATGCCAAATCCACTATCTGAACTCAATAAATAAATAATCCGGGGAATATATTTCTTTTACAGTTTTGGCAAACAAGCTGAACAACTTTTTTTCTCTGGGATATGTATGCTCAGCTTCCCTTAAAACTACTAAAAGCTTCATGCAAATATCTCAGGTTTTAATTTAGTCTTTTGGTTATCATCTGTAATTTCTCTTATGACAAAGGGTTTCATAGACATGGGCT